GAGCCGTTGGACTGGGGGACCCTCGCCCACGCCCCCGTCTTGGCCCGGGACCAAGAGCCAGCCCGCTTGCCCCAATCCCAGGGCCGCTGAACCCCCGCCCTCAGGTTGCGGTGGCCCTGGCTTGGGAGGAACGAGGTGGCCGCACGGTGACGTCCCGGGGGACGGGTAGTAGGCGGGGAGCTGGGTGTGGGGGGCACCTCTCCTCTCCCTGCGCTGATAAACCCCTCCTGCATTCCGTGACTGCCCTCATCTCTCATTTTGAGTTGAGCCCTTCGGTTGTATTTAAAATTCACTTTGCAACAGCGATTAAATCGGTGTATCTGGACAAATTTGAAATGTAATAGAGCTGTAAGAAAAAAAAAGTGTAAAATGTGGTGAACTTCAACCTGGTTTAGGGAAGCACTGTAATTTGTTCGGGATACCTCAGCGTCCTCACCTGGGGAAGAGAGGAACCAGGTTCTACGACAGTAAAATGTGCAGGCCCCAGGGGTGGGCGATAGTTGTGAGCATGGAGGAGGTCTCCACGGTTTCCTGTCTGGTCCGCTGTAGATGCAGAGGCGGCTGCTGGGCATGGACAAGGCAAGGGGACATCACAAGGTTCTGACCCGGTCTGGGGCCATGGATTCCTCAGTTTCTCTCCCGTCCTTTTCAGTATCTGCAGGAATAGCCTTGAGCCTTTGGGGTCCCCAGGGTGTACCTTGCTTGCACCTTCACTTGTCAGAGCCTTGGGGAGCTCAACCTGGGGTAAGGCCTTGCCCACTTGTGCAGGATGTGAGGGGCGTGTGTTTTGACTGTACCCTTTAGAACGACCCCAGCCAGCCTCCTACTCCGTCCAAGCTGGAACATGTGCGCTTTCAGAGCCACGTTTGGGAAAACCTCTCCGGAAGCTGGTGATACTGGGCCCTTCTGAAAGCATCGAGGCAGCTTGATTGAGAAGCCTTGGGAAAGGTGATCTGGTTGCCCTTCCCCCATCACACGTATCTTTCAAAATCTTCTGTCCCACATTCTGTTCCAAGAGCAACACATGGCAAAGGAGAACTAAGGAGCCATGTGTTAGCTCCGGGGTGGAATTGAGACCCACTGGTGCTGGTTTTACCTTTCAACACTGTTGGACAAGGCCACTTCCTCAGCCAGCAGAGCAGGTGGTAGCTGCCTGCCCCATGTTGGTGCAGGCAAGTTAGGTAATATTGGTAGCACCTGGAGCCTTTCCATCTCTTTTTCTCCATTTTCTCCAGGAGGAGGCAGGTTTCCTGCTTCTTGCTGTCCAGTGGCATTAATGTTACTTGGTACAGTGAGAAGGTGATGCCTTTCTTCTCAGTGTCTCACGGCTGCGACCAGCTCCTGGGGGAAACTGTGAAACCACAGCATCTCTAATACTGCCGCCTGTGCCTGCTGGGGTGGCCTTAGGCCTGCCGAGTCCTGAGGCTTGGTCCTTGCTCTTGGTGGCAGTGGCAGTCCTGTCCTGCTTCTGTATGATGACATCCCTCAGTCTAAGAGCTAGTGTTGTCTCAAGAGGACGCCAGCCTCTGGCTTTTTTCCTTTTTCTTTTTTGTTCTCAGTGCAGCCACTTGGCACACCTGGTACAATCTCACAACCTGTTTTCAGGGAAACTCAGCCAGGGAGACAAGCTGCTGGGAGGACATGAGAAGAATAGGCCACTATTGAGTCTGGAGACTTGACATCTCCAGTGTTGACCTAAAAAGATACCAAGTTTAGGATCTGGGTGAATTGAGGACCGGGTGAATTGAGGACCCAAGAAATCGTAAGCAGAGAGTTTTATCTCCTATTCAGAAATCATCTTGAGCAAATAATGAGGGGTTTGGGCTGTAAAACCAGACTTCTAGGTTCAAGACCTGCTGCTAACGCGTACTAACTTTGTGTCCTTGAGCAGCTTCTCTCTGTCTTGCTGTCCTCATCTATAAAAGGGATGATAATGGTTGCTACCTCCCCAGATAGTTGTATTATGTGAGTTACTAGGCCTCAGGGTCTGGTATCTAGCAAGTACTCCCACTGTACTAGCTGTTACTGTCAGTATCTTTCTCATTATTGTGTAATGAGATGGTAATCTTAGTTGTTTACACGACTATAGAGATTGTGCCTACCTTGACTTGATGGAAGCAACCACTAACATAAACAACCCACTGGTTCTCTTATGCAAACTAAGCTGTATGGCAGTTTACAGAAGGCTAGGATGAGAATTTTAACCCCGCCCCTTATAAAAGGCTGTTCAGTTCGCCTCTGCCCCTCCCAGACTCGCTTCCCAGAGGACAAGCCTTCGTGATGAGGAGACTGCTGTCTTTTCACACAATCAGAAATAAATGTTCCCTGGACTCCTCTTCAGAGCTTTCACTTGATGATGAATTGCTTCCAGGTAGGTCTTTTTTGGGTCTTCATTCACTTCGTGCTGCTCTCTAGGGCTCTTGCTGATCCCACTCCTAACTCCATTTGGTCCCAGCTGTTTTGAGTAGTTGTAGTGAAAGCAAGCAAGGATTACATTTTTTTTTTAAAGCCAAGTTCTTTGGCATATATTAAGCAGGCTGATGTGTGTCTATGAAGGGTGTTAGAAGATACTGTCCTTCTGAGTAAGACAAACAGACCAAGACCTAGAGCTGAAAAGCAGATTTGTTTCCTCCACAGGAGAAAAAAGAATCCAGCAGAGCAGAAGCAGAACTTACTGTAAATCCTTCCTGTGATTGAGAGCTTAATACTACCTCTTCTTCCCACACTCTTGTGCCAGTATTTGATATTGGGGGTATGGAAAATATCCTCATCCCTCCCGTATCTCCCATCCTACTGAAATTTTATTGTTGTTTGGAAGTTTTAATGTTGGTTCCCATTAACTTCTTCTTGTGAATTCCTCACCATAATTCCTGATCAGCTTGCTTAGGACAAGTTAGCTTGGGCACAGGGTTTGGTTCAGAGATAGAAAAGCTTGTTTGGCTGGTGTGTTGTAATTTTGAAAATGCTGTAGCTGCTACTAAGCATGAAGAAATGTACTCTGTTGGTAAACCTCTGATTTTCGTCCAGACTCATGGATTTAACGTCCTATATATTTTTATGGCCCTGAAAATGGAAAGTTTTTATTATTTGTTTTTTGTTTGAGTTGAGAAATTTTCTAAAGATGCATTTGGAGAAATCAAATGTAACTTGTACTAATGCAAATTGCCTAAATTATCTTACCTTTATTTTATTTGTTAATAGTGGGGAAAATGCCCTCTATTAAATAGATTCCAAATTATGTACTTATAAATGGGCATCCATTGAGGATGTTGATGCCAGTATTGCCAATGTTGGTGCCAATATTTAGTTGAGGATCTGCTATGTTAGTGTTGCCACATAGCAGTGTTTAATAAATGAATGAAGCGAGTCCCTGACCCTAGTGAGCTTAGCCATACCTTATCTTGGAGGCCTAATATTGGTGAAGATGGAACAATTTCAATATAGTATGATATTGGCATAGGTAAGGGTGAAACAAAGTCTCAGAAGCAGGGGAGTGGGAAGATGATTCATGCAATAGTACATTTCTTTAATAATTATATGCTTTCTGCTTGTGGCTTTTATATGAGGACATGGTGGTAGTGTGAGTTAGAACTGGAATCTGTCTAATGGTGGTTTTGGGGAAATTATATTTGTGAGTAATTTTGGTTTCATGTTGTAAAGCTTCATGGTGTATAGTATTTCTTAGATAAAGTCTTTATACAAATCTGCATCTGTAAATGGTTAGCAACCATTTGAGTAACTACCTTGTTTAAAACTCTATTGAACTTATCACATATTAGCATTTTAGCATCTGTGGAACAGCTCCAGGATAATATTTCACACCAGTTAGACTGCTAGATTTGAATTCTTTTGATATTTTTGAGACAGGGTCTTGAAATGTAGGTTAGGCTGGTTTTGATCTTACTGTGGCAGCCCAGGTTGGCCTCGGACTTTGCAGCAGTCCTGTCTCGGCCTCTGAAGTACAAAGATTACAGGCGTGTGCCAACATGCTCTGTTTGAATTCTTTTAAATAAATGAAGTCACCTTAAAATGAAGGGAAAGTAAAACTAGCAAAAAATTGAAACAAAACTAGAGTATTTTTATAAATACAGTTTTATTTTTGTCAACTGCTTAACTGAAGCATGAGAATGGTTGACTATTTAAATAAAAATACATCAGTCTCATAATTTGGGGAAAGTGATAGCTTGGATTTTGTTAGTCATGCTTTCTATTATCAAAGATAATTGGCAACTATTTGAGTTTAGTTTATTGTGTCAGCTAGGAATAATTAGTTATGTGAGAGGGTCTACTCTGATAGTTGCTGGATTTTGAAAAATGCAGCCTGAGGTTAGATGGGTTAATGTCTCAAGAAAAAGATTCTGCTCTTCTGACCCCACAGATCTAATAGGCAGGAGTGTATGTTAGGTCAAGACCTGACAATTAGGTATGCAGATTTTTCTCTTTCTTCGAATCCTAGGAGAAAACAAAGCTGAATGTCAATGTATAGTTAGAATTAAAGATTTCTGTATATCAACTTTGTGTTCCAGTTCAGCCACCCTATAAAATTTCCTTATTTTTTACTTGTGTGGAATTTTGATATCTGAGGTTGTAATTGAAAGTAAATTTCGATTTTGATTCTCTTAGCAATTTAGAGTTTTTGCTAGTTCAGATTTTTCCTCCCTTTTCCAGCCTGGTTTTTCTAGTTAGTGTTAACTGGCTGTGGGTTATTGTGATGGTATTCACTTCAGTAGTATCATCAGAAAGATGTCTCTGAGTGTTTTTTATCTCTTGCCTACTCAGAAAGCCAGCCCAAAGCAAACAGACTGGAGGAGTTGTGCAAGATAGTTTCTTTTAGTCTAGTTAACTTTTCTGGTCTAAATATTTTAATGCATCTTCTTAGGATATATTTCTAGTTGTGAAACCACATGCTAATCTAAGGCCTGAAAGGCCTGGTTTTTTTGAGACAAAAGACCACCCAAAAATGAATCAGCAAAAACTATAAGACAATTTCTGTATCAGTCTCACCAGCACAGATACTACTAAAGGCATTTTGGAATATTTCTGTCCTGCAGTTATGGGTTAGGATTTTGAGGATGTTATAATTTCCTTCATGGGATTTTACCACAGTTTTAAGAATGAATATTTGCTCTAGATAGTTTTAATTAAGATCTTGGTGGTATTGGGGTGTGGGACCCTGTTGGTTCCCAAGGCTTTACTTTCCCCTCATAGGTCCAGCCTCCCTCTTGCCCATGGAATCCTGATGCCCTTTTCAGAACAGAAAAGTGCTTCAAAGTAGCTCAGATGTGGGATTCCTTTTCTGGGTGGAGGTGAATTTTAAGCATTCAGAAAAGTATGTAGAATAACAGAGTGAACATTCAGTATTCCCCACCCAGTGAAGAAATAACATATTTCAAATACAATTAAAACCTCCTGTGAGCCCCTCCTCCTTTCATTGTCCCTATCTCCAGAGTGACCATTATTCTGAATTTGGTGACTATTGTATGTTTTTACACTTTTACTGGATACATGTGCACACATAAATCAGCCATGATGTTGTTTACTTGTTTTAAACATACTCTGTAGTACTGAACTAATGTTTTTATTGTTTAAATTATGACTTTGAGATTTATCCACTAAGATACACATAATTCTAGTTGTATACTATTCCTCTGCATGAATATGCTATAATACTCATAGTTATTCTTTTTCTTGTTGATAATTACTTAGGCTTACAGTTTTTCATCTGCACTGTTTTAGTGCTGTGAACAGTTGTGAACTCGTTTGTCTGTGTGAATGTTTGTAGTATATACCCAGAAGGGAATTGCTGGGTCAAAGGAAAATGGGCAACTTTTTTTTTAATTTTTGTATCTGGGATGGAACTTGGGACCTTGCACTTAGGAGGCAGGCAGTGGAACCGCTGAGTTAAATCCCCACCTCAGGGCAACTTTCACTTTTTAGTTGCAGGCTTGCTGTCTAAAGTTGCTGTATCAGTTTACCTGCTAACCAGCAGTGTTTGGGGGTTCTAGTCCTTCCATAGTCTTGCAGACACTTGATATTGTTAGTGGTGGCATTTTGCCAACCTGATGAGTATGAAATTGCATCTTTGTGGTTTACATTTGCACTTTCCTGTTTACTTATGAACATGTTTTCATGTGCTGGGTTGTTTTTAGCTAGGGGCTTGGGAGCAGTTTTCCAGGGCTTAGGAGTCGGGTTTACAGTTTTGATTTTTATCTGCAATCAGGGAAACAGGGAAGTAAAAAGGGAAATCAGGGGCACCCAAGCAACAGTCGGGAAAGGTAGGGAAGAATTGGAAGATTCATGACAAAGATGATCACCGTGAAGGGGGTGAAGCTTGGGACAAAAGGATGATAGGCTGGAATCAAGATACCTTGTGTGCGGAGTGAATTTGGAGTACATTTCCTGTGCAGCCAGCCTTATTCAAGCTACTTTTGTCCATGCTTTGTTGGATTTTGAAATTGGCCTTGGTGAAAATCATGCCGGCCTCTTCCTGTGAGTGCAGCAGCAAGGCTGGACTTGTGTAGTTTTCCTGTTTACCCACGTGGTTTTTGAAGCCCTTATAGAAAGGTTGTATGAAATTGTGGTTATCGTCCTCATGTACATTGTTTTGTCCTTTACTACACCGAGTAGAAAACCATTTTTATTAGGATTTGCTTGAATGTCCTGATGGAATTATTATTTTACATATTTAGAAAACATCCCCTGTACTTTAATTTCTAAAGTATGACAAATGCCACCTTACTGAAGACAGAAATACATGATTTTGTTTGTTTGTTTGTGACAGGGTCTCGCTGTGTAGCCAGGCTGGCCTCGAACTCACAGTGAACCTCTTGCCTCAGCCTCCCAAGTACTAGGTTTATAGGCATGTGCTGTCATGCCTGGCAGAAATACATGATTTTAAAAGTATGGTTCACAATAGGGAAATATGTTTCCTCGCTGGTTCTTTGGTATAACAAAGAATGATACCCACAAAAAAAACAAAAAAAAAAAAGAATGATGCCCACATATAAGTTATCTTATTAAAAATTCAAACTCCCTCCTCACCTAGAAATTTAGATGAAGTAGGTAAAGGTGGGGCCTTGGAATCTGCCTTTTGAATAAATATTCCTTCCTCTTTTCCACTCCCTCCACATCCTGTTGCAGGGGACTGGAGGACCATGCTTTGAGAAATACTGCTTTTCTTGGTAATAGTTGTGGCCTCTTAACAAATATGGCTTATGAAGGCTAGGGATTTAGCTCATTGGTGCCATGCATGCCTTGCAAGCTCAAGGTCCTGAGTTTGATCCCCAGTACTGAAAAGAAAGAAAAAAAATATGGTTTGGGCCAGGGATATAGCTCAGTGAAACCATCCCTGCCTGGCAAGCACAAGGTCCT